TATAAAATGTGTATAAGAACATACGGGTGAAAAATCTTATGAGTTGGGCAAACAGTTCTTAGTCATGATACCAAAACCATGCTCCATAAAAGAAAAAAAATGACAAATTAGACTTCATCAAAACAACACTACAAACTTATTAGGATGTCTAAAATAAAAAAAAAAAATACTAAGAGTAACAAATGTTGGTGATGTAGGACAAATAGAATTCTTATACATTGCTTTGGGAATGTAAAATGGTACAGTGACTCTGACAAGTTTGACAGTAACTTACAAAGAGAAATACACACTTATCATATGAACCAGCAATCCCCATCCTAGGTATTTACTCAAGAGAAACAGAAGAATATGTCCATACAAGGAGTTATTCATGAATGATCATAGCAGCTTTATTTGTAAATAATACAAGTAGCCAAAAACTTAAAACAACCCAAATTTCCGTCAACAGGTGAATGGATAAACAAACTATAAACAAACTAACATACTGAGATACTTAATGGATTACTAAACAGCAAAAATATAAGGAGCCCTGGTGGCTCAACAGTTAAACACTCAGATGCTAACCTAAAGATCAGTGGTTCGAACCCACCTGTGGCTCCATGGGAGAAAAGACCTGGCGACCTGCTCCCATAAAGATTTTAGCCTAGGAAATCCTATGGGGCAGTTCTACTCTGTCGTATATCTGTTGGTATGAGTCAGAATCGACTCGATGGCATAGAACAACAACTAAAAACTGCTGATAGATGCAACAACTTAGACCAATCTCAAAGGCATAGTTGTGAATGAAGGAAACAAATAATTCTAAATAAGCCAATCTTAAAGGGTTATATACTGTATGGTTCCATTTATATGACATTCTGGAGAAAGCAAAACTAAAGTGATGAAGAGATCCAGGGTTTCCAAGATTAGGCATGGGGGTGGGGGGAGGTATAACTACAAAATGATAGCATGAGGAAATATGGGGAGATGATTGAACTGTCTGTATTCTGGTTGTGGTGGTGGTTACATGAATCTATAACATAGTAAAATCCATAGAACTGTACACCTAAAAAGTCCATTTTACTGTATCTTAATATAAAAATAAAATAAAAGATTTAAGGGTGGGTCTGTAGTATAATTTGAGTTTTACTGTTAAAGTTTTCAGTCTAATAATGACTACACCTTCTCTCAGAATTAAGAACAAGTTTGGAAAAAAAATACACACCCTAGGCAGTAATAATAATAATTGCGTAGTAGCTCATCAATCTGGATGAGAGGAAAAGCTTGGAGTGTAAGTGGAAATAGGACTTCCTACACCTCCTCACCCTGCCCCTAACCAAACTGGTCAGACTTAAACCAGTTCCAAGCATAGTAAATTTTCAAATTCAAGTCACAACTTGTTGAAGCAAGTCTCCCAATTTATGTCACCTCATTGAAAAGTCTACAGCAATGAAGAGATAGAAAGAAAGCCTGAGCAATGCTTTACAAGTGACCTTTTACTTCAGTGTATCAATCCTCTTTTTAAAGAAAAGCATAAAACTAGGGAGAAGGACAGTTGCTTTCTTCCCATTTCTTACAAGAGGACATCATTCCAAATGCAAAGTTGCAGTAAAAGTGCAAGCAATGTAGATAAAGGCCACACCCTCAACCCTGCAGTTTCCTAGGCCCTAGAAGAATTAGAGTGAGAGGAGTGAGCCTAGGCTAAGGAGATGATACATTTTCCAAGGGAGATTGTTGAAAGGGAATGGTGGTTTAGAGATCTCTCAATAGTGTAAGAAATCTAAGTGGAATCGGGGACAGGAACATTGTCAGGAAGAGAGGGTTCATTTAACAGGAGAAGGTCCTATACTATGTATATATTTTACATCCTTCAAGACATGAACTTGATGATAAGCAGCTGGAGAGGGCTTACATTCAGTAAAGGCAAGGGAAACTCGGAAGACTGGAAAGAACATGGTTAGAAAGAAAGAAAAAAAGCCAATGGTACAATGACTCTATTTCCATGATTACTGTAGATTCTATTTTTTCATTCCTGCTAGCTACTTTCTCTCTGAAAGCAGAAACTATAACATCAATTCATCTTCTCTCACACTCTCACATAGGACACAATTCTGGAGCTGCTGGCCAGTGAAAAATTGTTAAATAAAAGGGCTCTTCCCTCCTAGGAAGCTTGGGCCTCTACTGACATGGTTTAATTTATACACAAGTCATTCCCACCCCTTGGTAAACATACAGTTAAGAAGCTGAGGGGACACTAGAGCTTAAAAAGTAGAAAGGCTGAGCTATTATCTTTCAGATAACTTGAATAGACTTCTTTATATTTCCATATGTGGTGATATGTATTGAGAATGTAACCATTTCCTTCCCAAACCACCCCCTCTTCCATATTTGATAATCAAAAACAAAACAAAAAAGCAAGAAGATATATTTTTTTCTTTAAATATTGCTTTCCAAATATTCACTTCAAGACACACAGAGCCCATTAACAAAAGAGAAGCCCATGCACTTGTTTGGAGATTTTTCTGTGATAGAAAATTTTTTGTACCTGCCCACAAGGGTAACATTACAGGAAATTCCCCAAGATATTTTCTACTTGTCCTACTTCTCTTTCTCCCTTTCCCTCACTGAAAGGGCTATAATCATATTTAGCGAAACTGACCTACTCTCTACTCAAAGACAGCTTTCTTAGAGAATATACCTATAAGCAGCTTGAGTGGAGATAGGGAACTTGCCTAAGGGTGCCAACACTTCACTTTTTATTGAGGTAATAGAGAGTTAGTTTCTTGGGGGATACTTACATCGCAATTTGTTACATGAGTTACAGAGGTCTTTGGAGGAGAATCAGGACAATTTTCAGTGTGATCTGAAGCTAAGCAGGTGGTCAGAGATGTGCCAGAACCCTGAAGGCTAAAATAAGGGCGGAGGGTCCCACAGAAGGTGATTGTAGTAAAGGAGTAGATGTGCGACCCATCAATCATGTTGTAAAAGGACACATCCCCAGCATCCCAGTCCAGGAAAACTCCTATCCTGTGGAGATGCTGCCTCAGGGACAGAGACTCTGGTGGGGAGGTGAGGGCCTCGATTGTCCCTTCAGTGCATGCCACCACCCAGAAATTCTTTTCTGGATTTTCAACAAACCATCCCTGTCTCTTCACTGTATCTGAGCAAACACCCACAGCCCATCTAGTTCCAGATCCACTTTCTGTCCCCATGTTTACTTCCACCTCCCAATAATGTCTCCCTGTAGTAAAGCAATCCTGACCCAGAACACTGAAGATAGTTTCAGATCCTCCTTGTCCTTGGTACGTTGGAGTGTCACAGTTGTGAGGAACATTCTCTACCCAAGAAACACGTCTTCTACTTTCAGATAAGTTGAGGTTGGGATGAGCCGTGTCTGGAGCCAAAGAAACAGCCACTGCAGGTGTGAGGGGGAAAACAGTCAGTCCACAATAGAGACTGCTTGGCCTTAGGAAAGACACAACTACTACGAAAGAAAAATGGAGGAAAACAAGATGGAGAGAAATGGAATAGGTAAAACAATTTGTGTTCTATCCCTTGTCCATTAACAGAAGTCACACAATGAATAAAACATGGGAAGACAGAGTTGGACAAAACCTTGGGTAGCCATCTGTACAGACAGGCTGAGACCACACAGCCAAGTAGGTTGCCTCATCTGAAAATCTCCAGCATCAGGTATTCAGGATGGTGTCTCTCTATCCTCCTTCAAATGCTGTTCAGTTACTACTTGTTCTTGATAGTGAAGTCCTGTCATATGTACAACTGCAGTGTGCCTACTTTCACTTAAGCTTCTTTTGTATCATTTTTCTATGGACTTACATAATAACTAAATCATCCAATTTTCTTATTTAATTCTAATGTTCATTTCTTATATTTCTAATGGCCCAGGCTCTAGAGTCAGAAAGATCTGAATTTTGATAATCACTCTGTCCTTAGTAGCTGTGTGATCTTGGCTAAGTTAGTTTGCTTCTCTCAGCCTCAGTCTACCCTCTTGATGATGTACATAATTATGGTACCTCAGCATAGGATTATAGTGAGAAATAAATGATACAATGTGTAGAGAACTGAATCCTGTGTCTTGTCTATGATGAACACTTGGTAAATTTTAGTTTCCAATAGGTATAGTAACACTAACAGCAGTAGCAATAGTAACAATACTAATATTAATTAATATGCTTCTTGTTGAACCAAACTTCTTCAATAATTAAAATTTTCTCATAGGAATTTGTATATGAGATATTAGAATATGTTTGAATTTTTGGAGGATTAAAATCATTAGGAAACATTCGTGGATACAGGGATATATAAAGTGGCATGCACTAAAAATGGATAATCAACCCACAATTCCGGAAAAACTCTAAAATGGTCAAGGGACATTTTTCACTTTCATAGAAATGCAACAAACTCTTCTCTGTCTCAGGCGAGTTACACAATAGTCTTCTTCTAACTGAACTACTCGTCCAATGTTATTCACATGAAAAATTCCACCGTATCATTAAAGTTTAATCTTAAATGTCAATTTCTTAAGGAATTCCTCTAATACACCAGTTTCTTTCATGGCAATCTCTTTTTACTTTATAACACTCCTCACGATTTATATGTGTACTTCACTATGAAGTCAGAGATCAGATCTGCTTTATTTGGTACCAAATAAATAGATGCATTAATTTATGCTGAATTAATGAATCAATGAATGGTATCATCAGAATGGCAAGAAATCTGTTAACATTTCAGCATGAGATTGAGACTGAGAGAGGAAGTCGTGGAATGAATAACCACATAGATATTATCAGGAGTTTATACATATGCAAGAGCTTTCATTTGACAGAGATTATGTGGGGCAGACTAAGAATGTCACTTGCCTGCTTTGAACTGTTCCTTTCCCCAGTCTGAAAAGAAAAAAAAAAATTACATCAGAGAATATGCCAAGAGCATGTTTTCTATACTCATGGTATGCCCCTGGCCAGGCATCCCCTTGGATTCCCTGCTCAACAAATCAGAATTTCCTTTCCGGAAAACGTCCTAGAGCCTCACAAAATTCTGTGAGTGAAGCCCCAAAAGAACATCAGAGTTACTCACCAGCATATAAATTTGCTTTTCTCCAGTCTGAAATAAAACAGAGGAATTAGATTCTCCCATTCATAAGGCCTTCACTTCAGAGTATGAAATTACTACTGCCGTATGAAACCTGAAGTATCATGATAGCATTATATCTGTGTTTATCTTCACTATATGACAATTCTGGAGAAACTGTCTTCTTCTAAACCTCCTGTCCTGTTTCCCGCATTTGCCACATTCGACCAACAAATCTGTGATGAAATCTTTGGCTATAGTCCTCTCAAAACGAGAAGGAGAAGATAGACCTAAGTTGTAAGAGCAGACAAAATGGTAGGTCCAACAAAGATGTAAAATATAAACTTACCTTGTTGGTATAGTTCCTTCCTTCTGGCTAAAAAGGAATAACAGCCTGTGAGATCCAAGTAAACAGCATAGAGTTGGGACTTTACCTCCTCTATAAGCACAAAGAAAATATGGAACTTACCAAGCTCTGTCTTGAGTGAGTCTAAAAAAGAAGGAAATTAATAAAACAGATTTTACTGGGAGAAAAATCCAACCAATGTTTAGTTTCAAGACTATGTCACTTGCACATATCCTAAATGCTGCTTCCAGAAACCTAGACCAAGAAATTTACTTGAATTGAGAATTACTGTGACTATTTCTTTCTAGCTCCAAATTTATACCAATGAATTTTCTCTCTCCAATGGACTCCATTATAATATTTTTCTCCCTGGGATCCTGCCTCCACATCTTGCTGGAGAACTGAGGGCTCCAAATTCAGTCCTACGTGTGTCCTTCTTTCCCAACAGATGCCACCCATGTGCACAGTCATGTTCATAAGCCCATAAATTCCCAACTCCCAATATGTCTCATTACCAGCTTTACCTTTGGCTTTGCTTTCTTCCTCTTTTTCCTTCTCGGCTTTCCACGCTCTCTTCTTTTCTTGCCGTTCTCTCCAGACCAAAAACAGAACAGCACCCAGAAGAGTCACAAGTATAGGGAGACTTACACCAAATGCTGCCTTCCAAGGAGAGGTTCTAGGGAAGAAGGGCTCTGACACAGGGCCCAAAGACCTGATCAAAGATGTTCACTACACAAGACTATCCCATCCCAAGTCCCAAATATCTCCTTCTTACTCCCTTCCTGTCCCCAAAATGAGAAAAACTGACCTGGGATAGAAATGGTTTCCACCTGCTCTTCACCAAAAAAGGGATTCTTCATGGAGCAGGACACTTTCCTCTTGGAGCTGTCTCTCACAATGAGGGCTGCTTCTATCTGGAACAACCCGTCATCATCTTGGGTCTCATCTTCAGAGACAGATGATATCTTCTCTCCCCTTTCATCTTTCCATAGTACCTCAGGCTGGGGAAACCATCCCTTTCCTGTGCATGTCACTCTTATTCCTTCATCTTCTGGTCCGACCATGAGGATGCGAGGACCAGAACCCAGACCTGGAGAGGAAAGCCTTTGTCTGAGACCTGGATCTTTTTTGTCCAAGAAGTCCCTAAAGTTATATAGGAACACCAGTGTGGGGAGATGGAAGAAGCATCATAGTTCTGAGTGGGAGTTGAGAGTTTCTTTTCTTCTCCACATGAGATAGATGTGTGCCTGTGGTCCAAAGTCACAGGAGACTTCCTTGGGCTTAAAGGTGACGCTAGTACTTATACCTCTGCCTAACAGATATTCTCTATCTAAGCATATCTACAATTAGATCATAGAAGGACACAGAAAAGGGACAGAGTAAAATCAAATATAAAAAAAAAAGAACACTACCAGAACATAAGAGATTCTCATTATCCCTTTGAGAGTAATGTTTTTGAACTTAATATCATATAGCATGAACCCTCTTCAGTATGGCTCAGTCCTACCCCAGTTCCTCAGATGTAGGAAATATATTAGGAATCTCAGCTACACCATCTTTTTTGGCTAAGAATTATAACACAAGTAACTATTGTAATTAAAAATGAAGCAGCATCAATGATGACAAAATCCATGGTGATCTACTCAGGGCTCTGTGGACTTCTGTTTAATCCACTGTTTCATTCTGGTTGAGGACCTTTCGATATTCCAAAATGGCAACTCCCTTCATAGTTTTCTTTTCTTCACTTACTTAACATTTTTTTCTGATCTCAGTGCTGTTATTATTATTATTTTTTTCTGCAATAGCAATCCACCCTGTCACAACCCAGGTAATCACTTCCTCCAAACAATGCATTTGCAATTTAGACCCACCACTAATGCTTCCAGCTGAGTCTCTATCCATCACTGTAGCCGATTAGGGTGCTGGTCTGAGAGTAATGATACTTTTTGGGAATCATGGTGTTTTCTTTCAAAATGCTTGAAGAGAGTCACGGGAGAGGAAAATAAATCATCTATATTTAGAATAGATATTTGTGGAAGTAGTTTAATTTCAAAGTACAGCACAATAAATGTATAAATATATTAAGAGCATTTGGGGTCAAAGCCACTGTCTAGGATGTTGATCAGCTCCAAGCTCCTGCCTCTTTGTCTCTGTTTTATTTGTTTTCTTCACCATCATCCCTCCAAAATCAAACACACAACACTTACATTTCCCTGAGAGTGACCTATATTCTCAGGTGATGACTTACCTATCACTTTTAGCTCCAAAATGGCTTCTTCAAAGTCACCGCCTTTCTTAAAGAAACACTTGTATATTCCATTGTCCGAGACTCGGAGACTGTGGATTCTCACACCTACTCTTCCCTCAGTGATATAGTCTTTCACCAACTCTGCTCTCCCTTTGAAGTCTACCAATTGTTCTACCACCTGCTCCATTCCATCCTGATAAACATACACAGCCTCTGAGAACTGAGAGCGAAACCACCGCAGCTCCATGTTCTCCACACTCATGGCTGGGGACACATGACAAGGCAGTACGGTCTCTGCACCCAGCATGGCCACAATGGGCTCCGAAGGACCAATCACCACAAACGTATCTGTGGAATAGGGTCATAGTGAAAAGAATATCAGAATGACCTGCCTGGATATTTCAGAACACAGCATCATTCATATAACAATTATTTGCAGGACATATTCTGGCTGAGGATGTGATGCTGAACAAAACAAAGAAGATTTCTAACCCTGTGAGCTTACAATTATCAGGGCAATCTCACAGTAAGTCAATTTTTCACTGTAATGGTGGTGAACGCTATGAAGGAGGATAGAAGAGTGCTGGGAAATCATGAAATTGGAGTTTTTAATCAGGTCTGGGGAATCAGATAATGCATTCCTCATGAAGCTGAGACCTGAATGAATTAGGACGTGTTAGTGAAGTAATTCTACCTGTCTTCTCTCTAAAGAGGTTTATGAGCAAATAAATCACTATATCAAAATAGATGATTTAGAATTCACCCAGGTATAGATGAGGAGTAATGGGGTGATTTAATCATTCTATTCTGAGAACAAGAGAACCCAGGTATGTAAAATATAAAATGTTCTTACCTGAGCCCCACATGGACACCTGGAGAAGCAGGAGAGAGAAGAGGCCTCTTGGCAGAGAGAAGTCCAGGAAACCCACCATCTCTTCCCAGTGCAGTGAATAGTATGACACAGAGGCGGGTGCTGCAAATAGCTGAAGTAAAGACAAGAATAAGACCCACAAGGTGAAAAGAACATGGCTAGGGTGTTCGCCAAAAGCTCAGCAGTTCAAATCCACCAGCCACTCCTGGAAACCCTATGAGGCAGTTCTACTCTATCCCATAGGGTCACTATGAGTCGGAATCAACTCAGCTGCCACAGATTTTTTTAAGGTGTTTGCAGTGCTTCTAGCGACGGCCTCCTAGAGCTCTCGGACAAACACCGCAGCGTCTCCCGCTGGACAGCCTTTCGCGCTAGAAAAAAGATCTTTTGTTTCCATTTTCTAAGGAAAGAGTTTTCATCTTAACAGTCACATTCTGCAGTAATAAATCAGCCCACAGTCTCTTTAAACTCTTCCCTTTTTCAAGATCATTTTGTCTAATGAATGAGAGATGAAAGGGAGGCAAAAAGCAGCTGCTGAGAGGGGCGGCTCTAGCACAAACATCACTCTGTCCTCAGTGTATTTTCTCCCCACATATTCCTGTATGACAGATGCAGATATAACATAGCCTGTCCTTGTCAACTCCCAAGGTCTTTCTTTGGATTCTCCCACTTCCCTCCCTCTTGCCCATCACCCAGTAGACACTCGTGCAATACTCACAGCTTTTAAGTTCTTTTTAAAGAGATTGAAACATCCTGGACTTCTCATCCTCACTGCAGCAGACACCATGGATACA